ATAAAAAGTGAAGGATGAATGGAGACATTATTGTGTCTGTTTCTTGGGGGGAATTGGAGAGTCGCCAAGTAGTTAAACATTGAAGAGAATACTCTGGAGGAAAAATCTAGCCCTGATAACCACTCTCTGTCTGTTTGACTCTGTATAGCTGCGCTGGCATTTGGTCATAAACTGTATTATAAGTCAATGTTATGGAAAGTTATTAGAATTCATCCTGAGGGGAGTTTGCATAACGTGGTAATCCAAACATTAGTTAAGACATTTTACTCCAAAAATGACAACATACTGGTGTGGCCAGAAGAAATGTCAAGGGATCACCAAAGCCATGAATGTAATCCATCCTATAATTGTTGAGATATTTCAGTCAGGTCTGTGCCAATAGCATGACACAGAGGATTACACACATCTTCATTGAGGCCTTGCTCAAGAGGAGCTTTACTATAGTTGTTGAGGGAACAAGTCAGTCTTGGGACTCCAACAGTATGCCTCAAAGCACCCCTTTTATTTGGATCAGGAATGAAACTTCAGTTGCAGATCTGCAGACCTGATGGCAGTCTAGAGTATGTCACATATACTGCCTTTTGGAGCACAACAGTATGCTTCCTCTAACTTCCTCTCCCTGCCTTATGCTCTTTGCATTTCTCCCAGTCCGTCTCTATCTTCCTATCTCCAGGAAGTGCGGTTCACGGCAGGAATAATGAAAGCTTGCTAAATCCATGCAGCTTAATAGCAGTGTCAGATTCAGCAGATGTGATGCTCCTTGAGCGGTGAAGTCAGAGGTCAATATACCCTGCTCAGCTTTCACAAGAAAAGCAGAGTCAGAGGGGAGGGGCAAAGGGAGATGTAATTATTTTGCTGTGTAGTTTATTGTCCCATGTGCTCCAAGTGTTTCTGAGACATGGTGTTAAGTAATACTTGGTCTGATAAACAGAGGGGTGGTTTGCATGCTGTCCTGATTCCTGGCACAGGCTCAGGTCAGACAGATGGTCAGGAGGGCTTTATGCAAGCGTATCCCCCCCCCCCTGTCTACGCCAACACACACACGGTCATGATGATACAGGCAAAGTGCCACAGGAGTTGACTCTGCAGCATTAGTAACTGCCAATGATGAAACATCATTCGATAGTGTTAGTGAAGGCCGGAAGACACTTAACCACTTACAACTTTGTAAAACTGAGTCGTTCAGACAATCTCTTAAAAAGTCATCCATCAAAGCTCCACATTTTGAACTACGGCCCCCAAAGGGCAACAAGACAGGTGAGATTGATTGCCTAAGTGTAGGATTCACGGGGAAGTGGGATTTTATTCCGAGGAAAAAACGTGGATATTTTCCGGGATTAGAGAAAGAAAAAAACGTGGATATTTTCCGAGATTAAAGTGTGATGTCATGTGCATATGAATTAAGTAGCGGACTGTTACCTGCTCACTTTTTTTCTGGTACATTTCCCCCTAAAATAACCACTTTAATCCGAGAGAATATTCAAATGTTTTCAAATGTTTGTGGGAATATTATACACCTTCATTTATTCTTTTTACCTACAGTGGCCATCATTGGTGTCCTTCTAACAAAGAGTGACAGGGTGATCTATAACATATTAACTGGGGTAAAAGTATGCTTCCAGGTGTGTTGTTTTTTGGTTATTCAGGATGTTTTAGTAATTCGCTGAGCTCTGAATCTTCCCCGCATGTAATTCAGGCCTAGGCTCCACGGGAACGAAAACGGGTTGTATCCGCATATTTCTCTTGCGTATAGCCCTTTAAGCTAGACGACGCCGTAACGGAACGGTAGAAACGGACCCTGCAAACGACAACGGGTCCAAAGGTGGATAGATCTGGGAACGGAGCGCTCTGGGGGGTCCAACGGGGCCGTGGGGTCGCCTATACGGTCATCCGTTTCTGATAATGACGACGCAATAGCCCCGCCTCTCTCCGCCTCTCTCCGCCTCTGCTGCTCACCCCCGCAAAAGTACACTGCACACTGAATTCAGATTATTTAGCTTTATCTCGATATGGACATAAACGCGAGTGAAGTCTAATCTGACAGGACGGAGACACGCAGCTCCTCCCGCTGTGATGCAGCGGGAGCAAAACACACACTTCAAGTCAGATCATCACCCTTAGCTATTTTAATTACCTCTCAAACTACCTAAACTAGTTATAAATATGTTTATTTTTACTGTCGGGTCACTCATTACAGGATCAGCTGCTGCATGAGACAGACACTGACGCTGTCAGAAGAGAGGAAAAAGAGACAGCCTCCGTGTATTTTATTATTATATATCATTATATCGTCGTTATTCATTTGTTTTAAAGCTCAATAAATAACAAAGAAGACCTTTGACCGGCACTTTTATAATTTTGTCCGGAAGATTTAAACTTTAACACACGTTGACCGGCGAAAAACTCTGCCCGGTTCCCTCGGCCCCCACCGCGGAGAATACACAGAAGTGCAGCCATGACAACCATTCTTCTTCGCTGCTTTTGTGGAGGAAGTTGCTGCTTTTGTGGAGGAAGTTACAGCGCCACGTACAGGCTCGGCATATGTACTGCAGCTTTTCCAGCGGTTGGATGTAAACGGAGCTGTCTCGTGTAGCTTGACACAATCCGGTGTATATTGCGTGTGGGCGGAAGCTTTTTGGCATTTGCGTTTGCGTTACTCCTATGCGTTTTGCCGTATGCGTTCCCGTGGAGCCTGGGCCTCAAAATCCCAACTTCCCTGAGAGATTAGTGAAACACAGGCAGACACTCTCATTGATGCCATGCCCCTGTCTAGCTTTCAGGGTTGGGAGTACGTGGGTTTTCCTGTTAACGCAGCAACCAACATATGACAGTTGTTTGATTCAGTAACAGAGGCCTCTTGGATCAGCTTAACACAGGCCTGCAGGGGCATCAAATCCCCTCTAACACACGGGACTCCAGCAGCAAAGCATGATGTTAATGCCACCGCCTGTTGGAGTGTGTGTGTTCTTCCCATGGTGTGTGAGAGTGGGAGATTCAGCGGAATAAAAGGAGAGAGGAAATGATGGGTAAAGGCAAAGGAAAGAAGGACAGAGTGACACATGTTTGTACTATTGGAAGGTCAACTGAAGCCAGCTACTTCAACTACTACAAAAAGATGGCATTTTAACACAAAACCTCTGCCAACACATGCCGTAAAAACTGCTGACATTCATGAAGACGCGGTTTGATCATGGTTACATAATTAAAAAAGGATGTTTAAAGATTCCTTTTCCTTCAAAGATTATGCTAGGTGGAGGAAATTAGGCAACAAAGGGATTTCTAAAACATAAAATCTGCAGCAAAGAAAAATCAAGGTAGTTCTGTAGCTCACTTTGCTTTGTCCCACAAACCTACTGTCACTGAACATGCCATTTAAACACAACAAATAATTCATAATTCACAAGTGTTATCACTCTGTGTCAAAGTGAACAGCTTATAAATTGCAGCACAAATGTGAATCGATGTTAAAAAGGGTTTATATAATGAAGCACTTAGAGGTACTCTGGTGGAGAAGCATTGTCTGCTGACATTTTTTATGCATTGTTCTAACTTTTGCTTGTCTGTCAATATGTGTGTTAGTCTTTGTATTTGTGTGACACCAATGTCTGTTTAAGTGTCTGATATATTTGGTTCACAGCTAGTACACACACACACACACACACACACACACACACACACACACACACACACACACACACACACACACACACACACACACACACACACACACACACACACACACACACACACACACACACACACACACACACACACACACACACACACACACACACACACACACACACACACACACACACACACACACACACACACACACACACACACACACACACACACACACACACACACACACACACACACACAGCTCCTGTAAAAATGTTTTTGTCTGAGAGTCCTAAGTGACCGCTCTGTCGCGCATATTAATCAGCAGCGTCTCATCGAGTGGCGAATGCCGTTTAGCTGCGGTCAGGCTCTGTGTCCCTGCCCTCCGCATTCATCTTCGCCCTGCATCCCTTCTTCTATTCTCCCTCCTCTCAGAGCATTTAAGCCATTAGGACATGATGCAAGACACAGGAGGACGTTCATTTTGATTTCCTCAAACTTTCTTTCAACCACTGTTTTCCGTCCAATGTTTTTCCTTTCATTTGTCCATCATGAAGCTTGCTTTGTGTGCGATTGGTGTTCCATTTCTCTCTGATAAGTAGCAGTAATCAAGTTCTACTAAAGAAAGTATTTGGATTCAACAACTCGGTCAGAGATTTAAAATATGGTCTTACATTTCAAAGTATATTGGATCTGCAGAAAGTGAAGCTCATTAAATACCTCGACATAAAACATATTTGTAATTGATTGAAGTTCAGCCATGAGTTCTTGCCTCATTTCCACTACATCAGGGGTGTCAAACTCAATTTCATCCCGGGCCACATCAGCATTATGGTTGCACTCAAAGGGCCGGTTGTAATTTGTATTATATATAAATATATGTAAATATATAATATTAAATAATGTATTATATTACATTGTTGGCCCTGGATTGGATTATTATCAGTTCTGGTAATATCTTCCTAAATAAGTACGTCTGAAAGCAGAACTCTAGGGCAAATAATTGAAAGCAAATATTCAACAATTACACCAATTGTATTGTATATTATATTCTTTGCAAGCTCTTGCGGGCCACATAAAATGAGGTCGCGGGCCGGATTTGGCCCCCGGGCCTTGAGTTTGACACCCCTGCACTACATGGTTCGGCTCAAATTATGTACTTTTTTTCAAACCTTCATTGTACCGAAGAAACTGATCACTTTCCAGGTATAGACATCTATTGCTAATAGAAACCAATTATTAGAGTCTGCCGTGCTAATTGAGTAGAGCTGTACGATGCAGTGGAAATGCTGTAGTATTTCCCCAAATGTAGATTTATGACTTTAAGCGTTTGTTAACGTAATTTAATCATACTTATGGTGTCTTGTTTCTGTCAGGTTCCTGTTTCTGGGTGGCAATGCTTGACGGACGTGTGGTTGGGATCGTGGCAGCGCAAGGCCGCGAGGACGACAACTCGGTGGAGCTGCGGCGCATGTCGGTGGACTCTCGTTACCGCGGCAAAGGCATCGCAAAGGTACTGGGTCGGCGCGTTCTGGAGTTCGCCGTGCGCAACAACTACGCCGCTGTGGTCCTCGGCACGACGGCTGTAAAGTTGGCCGCCCACAAGCTGTACGAGTCGCTGGGCTTCCGCCGAATGGACCAGAGCAAGGACTACCGGCTGCCCGGGATGAGGCGCACGCCGCTGGAGAGGCTCTTCTTCCAGATCCGCCACAGCCGCTACCGCCTGCAGCTCCGTGAGGAGTGAGAGGTGACAGAGAGAGGGAGGGAGAGAGAGATGGAGAAGACAGGGACAGAGAGCGACGACCCTCATCCACCCGAGAGCCCAGACAGCATCCTCTCCTCTGACAGCTTTTATTTATTTTGTGTCATTAGAGATAACGCCGAGTACAACTTAACAATATTCCATCTTTAAAGTCACTAACGTTTTCATTCCTATTATGCTTTATTTTTTGCTGTTGTTTTTGTATTATACTTTTACATTTTAAATAAGAGTTTTTTTTTTTTCCTCTATTTTATTAAGATATGTTTTTGTACCTTTGCCCCTCCCCTTTACACTGTGGGAGAAAAGGCTTTTTATAGAAGACATCTTAACTGGCACCCTCCCCTGCCCCTTTGGTTTAAAGATGATGTGACTCTGATCAATGCTCCCCTTCATTACTACTCCACAATGCCCTCTCTACCCCTCCCCTATACCTCAAGCCTTCCCTCCCCTCCCACACTCTCTGTACCGCAAAATCCAACAGATGGGTTTGGCACAGGAAAGTGCAGTGAGACATTTGTGTCATTGGGGGTGGACAAAGAAATGGATTTGGTTGGGAGGGGCAGATATGGCTTCCTCGAGAGCAACACAAACACACCAACAAGTGTTTGGGGAACTTGTGGATCACACTCTTTCCAAAAGCTCCTCAATGTTACATGTTGTGTGTGCTCTGTGGATATAAAGCAAGTCATTTGGCTTGCAGCCAGCCGCTCAAGACGCCATATTGAAGCACAGCAAGTGTGTTACTGACCCCCACAGTGAGAGAGAAGGATGGCAGGATGGTTACCGGAACATGCACCTAACGCAGTGCATCTTCCCCACACACTCCTCCTCTTCCTCTTCCTCACTGATTTAATTAGATCCCTCCCTTCTATTGTTTTATTAATCCCTGCGTTTCTCACTGGAGCTGTGGAGAGGCTCTCTGATTGGTTGAGGTGAAAGGAGGTGTGGAACAGATCCCATGATACAGTATATCTGCATGTCAGAGCTTGTGTGTGTGTGTGTGTGTGTGTGTGTGTATGTATGTAAGTGTGAGAGTATGTGACTGTGTGTGTGTTTGATGAGGCTATGGTCAGACATAACGCCATGCCTAAACAGCGTATGATGAATTAACCTATTTTTTTCGCGTGAACAGACACGCACCTTTCTTGCTATGAGTCAAGTATTATCAAAGTAACTACTTTCTATGTGTATTTATAAACTGTTTACTCATAGAAGACAGATACATTCTAACATTTTGAATATGTTTAGTATTTGACTAATCATTAGTAATTTTCTAACACATATTACCACATTGTAATATGCTAATTTTACCGTCAAAACTACGACAATTACAGAGTAGCTGCGCACTACGCTCCACAGATTAATCCAGGTTTTTAGGGAACAACTTGGGTAAGACATGACTACTAGCAATACTCGCAAACCTGTAACTGAGCACAAACAGCAAATAACTATCTATCTAATGTATTAGCATCCCCACTTCCTCATGTATTTATATTGTGGAGACTCATGTAGCGAACAAAACGTCCCCCATAACACCTCTCTCCATCTCCATCTCCTTCCTCTAAGCATAACAACCAGCAGTAGATTCAGCCATCCACGACTCTGAGCCTAAGTTACGTCGTCATACCATTTGTAAAAAGTAAAACATAAAGCAAAAATGAAAAAAAAAATCTAATAAATTGAAAAAAGGAAAGAAAAAAATTGAATACAAATGTAATCGTCATGAATCCCTCCTCGCCTTGCCACCCCTCCCCCCTAAACTCCCCCGACCTCCCATATATGGATCTGTCTGCAACCCTGGGCTAGACCCTAAACCTTCCATCTGAACCCTCCTCTGACCTTTGACCCTACCTTGCCCCAGGCCACGCCCATTTCCCCGCCCATCTCTGCATGCGCCACAGAGCCTTGCTGCACTGCTTTTATTACTCCATTTGAAGCTTGTTGGACAAAACCTTAGACCCCGCCCCTTACTCTGATGTCATCCAGGAAGTGTGACGATCAGGCTGGTGCCAGGTTGCAATGCTTGTACTGTATGGGTGGGATGCAGAGAGATAAAATGTGTGTGTGTGTGTGTCTTCAGATACACTCACCGACTGCAGCACTGTCTGGATGACATCACGCCTGCCAGCCAACCAACTGTAGAATGCAAAAGCAATGCAAGTGTGGCATGCCTCTGTACCTGGTGTGTGTGTACGGTGCCTGCCATGGAAGAGTGTAGAGAAACATTTATAAACAATATATAAATATAAATATATATATATATATAAAAAGAAAATAAGCTTCTTTTTTTAAATGAACATATAAAGAAATGTGTTTTTCTTTGTCTGTTTGAAAAAAAGAACAATTGTATCATTTGCATGAAATGTGTCTTTGAATGCAAAAATAACTTTTAGAGGAGAAACTCCTAGCACATGGCATACAGTGGAACCATAGACTTGTCATTTTGTTTTTGTTTTAGAGTATTTTATTTCATTTGGGTCTATGGGAGGGAAATGAATACTAGCCATGAGCCAGTGCACATAAATCTTTAGGAGCGTAACGTCTAGCTAACTTAGAATGCTGCTCGATATTCAGATTTAATCGTCACTGGCTGGAGGACTAAAAAGTGAGCAACTAGCTTGTGGTAAGGGTCGTCAATGGGCATTACAGGTGATGAAAGAAGTGTGTTTCCATGCAGTACATAGTGCAACATCCTTTCATCCACTAAGTCCTTTGCCAAGTTTATCATAAGCAGATGAAGGAAACGGGCAGCAGGATACCGTTAGAACTTGCAGTGAGGGTGACATGCTGAGACTTTGCTGCAGGTGGAAGCTGTTCCCTGTCAAACGTGTCCTCAAACGCCACATTGAACCTCGACCTGTGTCAGCAAAATGAATACAGTTAATACCTTATGTCGCATCTAACTTCGGAAGAAACTTTCCATAATATTGTTTTTCTACAAAAAGGCATTATTCCACCAACGGACAGAAGTTGACCTTTAAGATGATTATGTCAGGTCCCATGGCACTAAGTCTTATTCCCCTTCGTTTCCTTTATTTAAAGCCATGTGTTGAAGCCACTTCTAGAGGAGTTTTAGCGACTGACAAGCTTTCTCTTTCAACCTTAGGAAATTCTACAAAGTTAAACACAAGGCACAAACGCACTGAAAGCATCAAACGGTACTGTTTTCAAAAAATACGTCAGATCTTTTTAACATGTGGAGGAGGCCTCACACCACCTTGATACATCTGCTTTGAACTTGGTTGTTGCTGCAGAGTTGAAAGAGGATATTTTGCAACAAAATAGGTCTTCAGAAGTACTTACAAAAGTCTTAATGAGGCAGGAAGCAGAGACACACTTTACTTTTTCCAGCTTGTTTCAAGATAATTAAAATACAGAGCAGACATTGAACCATTTGAGTAAGGCTGATATCTCAGTTTTGAAATATAGGCGCCAGTGGGGCTGGGGATTTGGATTGCAGATATATTTTATGTTAGTTATCGCTGTGTTAAAGGTTGTTACTGTACGACCTGGGTTAGGTATAAAGGATGAGAGGGAAAATAATCTGTGGTTTCGATCATGTGGAAGAATGTGAAGTCTGTCAATTCTGAGCCATTTCTGCTGCTGCCAATCTCAGTTCTTTGCCTGATGACATTTAAAATACTCCATGTGTTCTTTTGGGGAAGTGGTTATCCATACTGGTACATGTACTGAACAAAAGTGATATCATTTAAATGGCCTTTGCCAAGGCTTTATGCACTGGAATCAAAACGCTGGAGTTCAAATACCTTGTTGACTGCATGGCTCGTAAAGGGGAGATTTGAATTGTAAAGATGAAGTGCACTGACCATAATGCATTTATTTCTAGCAATGTCTGTTTTCTACTTCCTGTGAAGTCTCACGTCCCATTTAAAAACCGCTACTTAACATGATCATTTAGTAATTAAACTGTATGCAACTTCTACCGGAGTATATGTTTAGTTACAAACCATTCCTCTGCTGATGTACAATCCAAAAAACAATCTCACATTTGTTTGTATTTTGGTTTTCTCTGTTTGTTTGAAAGCAAGTGTCCTATGGAGGTTTGAGAAAGTATGCTGCATAAAGGCCTCTCCTGCTGGAGTAGGCTTTTTAGTTTAGAGTGCTTTAGAATCCAAAAAACAATGCTCTGTTTCTGACCGCACGAGCTGAAGGCTACTGAAGCCAGAGCTTAACTTTAGCAGTTTTAAAAACCCTGGTCACATTCAAATCTGGCCGTAGAATTATCAGTATGCCACGATCAACAGTTGAAGGAGCATAGTCAAAAATGCACAAATGTACAGATCCTGTGGGTGTGTTGTGTTACTCAGATGATGTGTGTCAATGCTCGACAGCCGGGGGGGGGGGGGGGGTGACACTCACAGGCTTGATTGTAAACTGCCAACATTTAAGCTCTTAGAAAGATTTTTATGTTTTTCCTGGTTGCTTTTTTACATTTTGAATGACAGGGGTGTGGGAAAAAGGTGTAAAAGCAGCTTTCATTAAGTGACTAAACCACTGCATTAGATGTTAGACATGTTTGTGTGATTGTAAATAGCCTATTGTTGTTAATGTATTATTTACTGCAACCTGTCATCTTTGCTGGTTTTTCAACCGATCGCGATGGAGTTCATTTTTTTGTCTCGGAAGATGGCAGTCGCCTGGAATGTTCCACCTAACGAGGAGGGCGAGGGAGGAATGTGCCACATTGGCAGTCAAACGGGGGGGTTGTGTGTGTGTGTGGGGGGGGGGGGGGTTTGGGGGGTGGCAGCTCCACAACATGGACTCCCTCTCTCTCTCTCTACCTCTGGTGAGGACTCTGCTCCACTGTGGCAAATACAGAAGGACTCACTCTGGACTGAGGCCACAGGTGCCAAGAACACATAAGCACTTGTAGCACAACTGTGTCTTGTTTTGCTATTACAGTACAGATAGTTTTGATTTTTTTCTACATTTCCTATGATGAATATGGATAAAGTTTCTCTTTCTCCTGGATTGTATGTATCCTAAGCATATGTACAAGACATGACACCATAATGTTTCATTCATACCACGACCCACGGCTTATTTTTGAGGTGGATATTTGCCAAAGGTGACAGTAATTGCTGCATTTTTATTTATTTTGTGGCTTTTTCTTTCAACACCATCCTGTATTACTTGGTATTATTTGGGGGGAAATCCTGCCCACGTGCCATCTAATCAAGCAATAAATACAAACAGAAAACCACAGAGTAATGGCATACTATCAAGAATGATTTTGTTAAAAACATGAAATGCTGCATTGCTGTTATATCCCTACACTGTACCAATTAGTGGCATCACCACGCATCACATTGAAGCCTGAATGGGGGGGTTTGAGTGTCAAATGTTTCTGTTTTTTGTATTTTTCTTTACAAAGATGTGTTTTTTTTAAACTTGAGGTTGCAGTACACGGGTGTACCTTTGCATATTTGTAAAGATGTCAATAGGAAAATGACCAGAGGGGGGACAATGGATGCTAAAAGGTGAGCAGTTCAAGCAGGGAAAAGATGGCGTGGCCACACTCTGAAAAAGCAATCCGCTGCGAGTCTCTTAACTGAGCTTTTGATTTAACCACAAAGACTTCCGGTTAACATGCACCGCAACTCCACCGCCACTCTGTCAGTACGAATTGAAAATAAATCAATCAAAACTCTCAAGTCTGTAAAGTATATTTTACTGTAAATAGCATCCGGGGGTCCTTTTTACTCTTTTTGTAACAGAAACTGTGGATTTAAAATATTGAAAGTATATATTTTAAAAGATATTTACAGCACTTATAAAGAGATTCTCAAGTAGTGCAGGTGTCTTCATCTGTATTAACAATCCCGTACTCATTGTTAGCGTCTGCTCTCAGGGGGGCGACACAGCCTGCCTGCTTGAACTCTCACTCGAAGCGTTGCTCTGTTAGCTTTCAGCACCATGGCCGTGAATATGAGCAGCTCTGGACTGAGCTATTAGT